ATTTTGCAAAGTGTTGTGGTAAGACACAAATACTGCTCTAACTTGGCAAAGGTCAGATTTTTTTACAGGAGTGGGAAAATTGTATAACACTCGGTTTACACCAGACCACAAAGTTTGTTTGGGTACTTTCCTGTTAAAGGGAACATTAATTAAACTTATTATCAATGATTTTTCGATATATCGATATTTTTGTTTTACTTCACGATCCGTATTCCTTCTGTTTTAATACCTATCTTAAAACGTATTTAAATTAAAAATTAAGAACTAACCTTGAGTTCTTCGTTAACATAGCCAATGACACCCTTGCACAAAATCCTCAAAACCAAAATCAGCCAGCTGAAATCACAGAGGTACACTGTCAGACACCTTAGATGTCTCTTCAGTTAACAAACGAGCAGGAACTGACTCAAGTGATCAACACCCTAAAAAATAAAACATCTGCTAGAGTAGATGATATATCCACCAGTCTACTAAAAAAATGTAAAGAAGAACTTGCTGGACCGTTAACATACATCATCAACCGTTCTTTCCAAGAAGGAATCTTCCCAAGTGGGCTTAAAATTGCAAAGGTATACCCAAAATTCAAGAAAGGAAACCATCTGGACTCAAAGAACTACCGCCCAATTTCATTAATTTCCACATTCTCCAAAGTATTTGAAAAAATAGTACCTACTAAACAGACTTCTTCAACACCTATCATCCAATGAACTGCTCACACCACATCAAAATAGATCTGTACAGGGAAAATCAACCACATCTGCCATAATAGCGCTAACTGAATATGTAATAGATAATCTAGAAGAAGGAAACATACCAACCACAATTTAACTTGATTTCAGCAAAGCATTTGACTGCTTAGATCATACACAACTGTGTAACAAGTTGAGAAAAATTGGAATTGGTGGGAAAACTGCAGAATGGTTCAAGAGCTATTTAACTGGAAGAAGTCAGATGTTTGAACTCAAATACTGTACACTGAAAAGGGATCTACACAAACAGTAAGATCAAAGTTATTACCTGTAGTAAGGGGTGTTCCACAGGGTTCTGTGCTGGGCCCCATCCTTTTCAAAACATCAAAACATCATTCATTGTTTACAAATGATCTCCCTCACTATTTGGAAGACTACAGCAAGACTCTTATGTATGCAGATGATACCGTACTCCTCCTTGGGGGAAAAAATCCTGAAGCCCTTGAAATCAGCTCGTTTGTTTCCATAAACATGGCAATACAATGTTGCCAAAACAACAGCGAATCGTGTTTCTAAGCCAACCCCAACTCTTAAATGCCCCTCAAATCCTGATGAATTCAATGAACATATTCTGGGGGTAATTGACAAAATTGTTGACTCAGTAAACCCTGACAGTGATGTAAATACTGCAACTAAAATACCGCACAAGCCTATTATAAACTCTCTAGATAACTGGGCTTATGTAACGCCTCAAAATGTCATTAAAATAATCAAACAATTCAAGAACACAACTAGTCAGGATATTTATGGCTTAAACATCATTGTACTGAAACATGTTGCGGACATTATTGTGATCCCCTAGCAAAAGTAGCCTACTTAATCTGTGTATGTCCCATGGGGTTTTCCCTGATGTCTTAAAAGTTTCTAAAACAATAGGCCTACCCATTTTTAAAAAGAGCAACCCTGAAGATGTAGGAAGCTATCAACCGATTTCCATAGTGCCTATGTTTGCAAAGATTTATGAGACTATAATGAAAACACAGCTTGTTCAACACTTTGAAACAAATGGTCTGTTTAGTGACTCACAGTATGGCTTTAGGAGCGGTAGAACCACAACTACTGCAGTTCTTAAACTTGTCACTAAGGTAGTCGATGCTTTCGAAGAGGGGAATTCAGTTGCACTCACCCTAGCTGACTTAAGCAAAGCTTTTGATTGTGTCTCCCACATTCAACTGCTAGAAAAGTTACATCTATATGGCGTTGGGGGGCCAGCACTGCTTGCCTTTAAATCCTACCTCCTAAATCGAAAACAGATCATGGCAGTAAAAGGGGCAAATTCACAACCATTGCCGGTTAAACATGGCGTGCCCCAGGGATCTGTGTTGGGCCCTGTGCTATTCTTGGTGATGGTGAACGACCTCGGGCAGTTAGGCAACGTCTTGCTTTTTGCGGACGACACAACTATTTTTGCGGATGCAAGCACTCCTGAGGAAGCCAGGGTCTGTACAGTCCTTCGAGAAAAACCAAGACGTGGTTCAAAGCAAATAAGCTTTGCCTAAATGAAAGCAAAACGCAACACATGACCTGCAGTCTAGCTCGGAATCCCATCCCTGATAACCTGCCTGAAGTAAAATTATTAGGCTTCATAATCGACCCCAAACTCACCTGGGAAAAACATACCATGAAAGTGTGCACCAAGCTGTCGAGGACATTGCATCTCTTTAGGAAGCTCAAACCTATGCTGACAAAGCAATACCTACTGACTGTCTACTTTGCTTTGTTCCACAGCCATCTCAGCTATGGGTTGGAGGTTTGGGGCCATGCAGCTGGATGTAAGGATATACTTTTGTTACAAAAAGAAGGTAGTCAGACTTATTTCGTCCGCTGACTACCACGAACATTGCAGACCTCTTTTTAGTAAACTCAATATCCTTACAGTATACAGCCAGTACATTCTAATCACCCTAAACAACGTAAGGACCAACATCTCTGGTCTTGCATTGAGAGAAGACCAACATGATCACAATACAAGGTCAAAATCCAACCTTGATATCCCTTTCTGCAGACTAAACAAAAAAAGGACAGCTTTCCTATGTTGGCAATTAGGATGTACAACCGACTGCCACTGTACTTTAAAAACCTTGAGGCCTCAGTTTTCAAGAACTGAGGGAGCCTTGTACTCCCTAGATGAGTTTTATAAAATTTGCGTCTAACCTGCCGCCAAACTTGTAAATATGTGTATAAATATTATTATTATTTTTATTTTTGACTCAGTCTATCCAGCAAGAGCTGGTCAACGATGTCGAGGGAGTAAGTAAGTAAGCTTAGTGGTTAATGAAGAGAAAACACAACAACTGATCTTTGGCAGGAGAAATGGTGGGGTATGCAGGATCCCAGACATCGAAGGCCCAGAAGAAGCAAAGTATTTAGGGTAATAATAGACCAGAAACTGACATGGACCCCCCATATTGACAGCCCGTGCAGTAAGCTGAGTAGCAGTGTCTACGTGATAAGAAGGATAAAAACCATAAGTGATGACACCAACATAGCCAAGATTGCCTACCACTCACTGTTTGAATCACGTCTTCGATATGGCCTTGAAGTATGGGGAAACTCATCGGCAACCAACCTCCAACGTGTGTTTATCCACCAGAAAAAAGCAGTAAGAATATTAGCAGACATGGACAAGAGAGAAAGTCACAGACTGAAATTCCGTGAGCTAAAAATCCTAACGATTACAAGCCTGTACATCCTAGCTGTGGCTTCTCATACAAGCAGGCTACAGCTCCAACGAGGTATGGATAGGCACAGCCATAACACCCGACAGGCTATGAATTACACACTTCCAGTCCATCATCTAACTCTTTTTGAAGAAAAGCCTTCCTAAATGGGAGTGAAGTTCCTGAACCTGCTCCCAGAGACAATAAAAGGCCCCAGCATAAGCAGCACCAGACAACGCTTATTGGCTTGGCTTGTGGAGAGACTATTCTACACAGTTGAGGAGTTCATGAACTGGAGAACTTCACCGATGTTCCAGTGAGGACTAAACAACCCTCATAGTAATAACCATCACTACCGACAGCGCCTCAAAGCCCAACAACTTTATGCTATTTTATAATTAAATCTCTGTAATGTTTGACGCCTATTCTGTACTCTATTCTATGTTCAAGAATAAAGTATTCTGATTCTGATTCTTGTTTAGGCAAAAATAATAGCCCATAGGCCTATATTGGATTAGGAAATGAAACTATTCTAAACTAACCTAACATAACTAACCAAACTTGCTGTAGGCTAAGTTACCATTTCAAAATTCTGTTTGATAACAGAAAATGCATATGGGGAATAGGTTATCAAACGGAATGTTTAAATGTTACACTGAACAATATTTATGTACTGTATCCTTATCGTAGTGGTCAACTGATATGTTTCAATTTGTTATAATCAATATATCGGATAGAAAAACAAATATTGATATATCGAAAAGGGGTAGACTTCCATATCTGTTGGCACAAACAACCGAATGAAAATATCAATCGATATATCGAATGAAACAATAGAATAATCGATATTTTCATTCGGCTGTTTATGCCAACAGATATGGAAGTCTACCCTCGAAAAGAAAATCATCGATAATTTTTTAAATTTTATCCATATAATTATCCTGGATAATTTTTTTATCCAGGTAGACATTCTTTATTCTTGAGTAAATTTTATGACTGGTTCGTAAGAAACCCTTTTTTTCCGATTGTCGACTTCATGGCCGTAAAGGAAGTTCAGTTTTAGACTACGAAAACTGACTATATATAGAGTCTTTTAAACTCATCGAAAATTATGACTGTTATTACTGTAGTTTTAAAATAACTTATGTATAGTACCAGTACTTGACAATTGCTCGATTTCGAGCAACAGGTACACTAGTATAATTTTACATATTCTTCAAACTATAAACATGTACACCCCTAATCTTTATTCTTAGATTACTATAACTAACATAGGCCTAGCGGACCTGACCTAGCTAGGTCTACACCGATTAAGCCCATACCTACCTAGATGTTATAACTACGTGTTCCGTTACAAAGTTAAACTATGAATACATTTATTCTGCAAATATACTGTATGTATGACTTAGAGGTATTTGCAAATATTGGGTAGGCTATATTAAAAAAATTGTATTTGACTGGTTCTGTCCAAAAGTAGTGTTAGGTAAGTGTATATCTTCACCGTAGGGTAATAAGTTAACTTATATCTAACTTATTCAACGCAAATGTCATACTCTAACAATCGACATAGTTTGTTTTTTTTTCATTTCAGGAATTTTCTAATCTTAACTGCAGCAATGGCTCACAAAAGCTTTCAACCCATAGTGCTAGTTCATGGAGGTGCAGGGGACATTCCAGACTCCCGGGTGTCAGCTAAGCTAGATGGGGTGTGCAGAGCAGCCCGCAAGGGCTATGAAATTTTACAGAAAACTGGCTCTGTCTTGGATGGTATTGTTGCTGCTGTTGAACTGATGGAAGACGAGCCTGCGTTCAATGCAGGTATGTACAATTGAATTTTAAAATAATATGTTTTCACCACAGTACACAGTAAGCAGCTCTAGTTATTACCTTTTTGATGCATTATTGTTCTTGAGTGGTACAGTAGTTTTTTGTATATTATCCTATGCACATTTCGCCAGCTTGTTTGAAATCTGCAGGGTGTCTTCTTATGTTGTACCTACTCGGAAATAAAGTCAAGTTACCAGGCACATGTGTTAGGTACCAAAGACAAATTTTCAATGGTACTGTACCCATTGTTGTTATTGTGGTACAAAGTAGGCCCTACCTGTATGAGTTAGAATATTCCATGCTTTCAAAGTGGCAAAACGATCAAAATATCAGTAATGTTAGGCTATTTTTTGTCTAAATTACAAAAAGAAAAAACCTTTTGTTAATACTTTGTAAGAATTTTTGCTGGTATAAGTTAGTAGGTACGCAAAAAAGTATAGTATGCAACTTACCTGGGAAGGTGTTTACTGTATTCATATAAAATCCCGAGTTCGGCAAGCTTTGCACAAGAACCATGCTTGTATCGTTAACACCTACTTCCTTCTCTTAGAGCGTTTCTTAGTAAATAACATTTTCTCTCTTTCTAATAAGATCTATCGTCTTCTTAAAATCCTTAACTTGTAATTTAAGTTAACTTAACTTGTAATTTAAGTTAACTTAACTTGTTATGGTCACTATCATGTAATTTAAAATCACTATGTGTTTGGATTTGAAAAATGATAATTATATTTTTGCAAAGGTGGATTTAAATATTAAATGGATTTGTGTAAGCGAGAACACTATTTTTATCTATATACACTACACGTATTTTTATCTATATACACTATATGTACTAGCAGAGTACCCGTCCTTCGTACGGGGTTGGCGTAGTATAAAATGTTTATTGCAGTTACTGTATACTTGGCTTTGCGTTTGCAATGGGAGAGGACACGGTTTAAGAAAATTTGGTTCTTTTAATTTATGGTATGCTATAATATAGCACATCTCCTATAGCCATAATGTTCTACCACTGCACCTAAACAATAAAAAAAAGTAAATTTTTCATTGTATATCACAGCTTTTTATTGCTAATTGGTTCAAATTAGCTGTTGTCATAGAAGCAAAAAAAAAATTAATAGTGCTGCACCCTGTTGGCAAACCTTGTGTAGTTGAAACACATCTTTAATTCCTTTTAAATATGAAGTACCTGGGGACCGAGCTTTCTCCTAGAACTTTATTAGTATATTAGTACTCGCCTTTGGCTCGCTGGGGGCTCCGCCCCCAGGCCCCCTTTTTTGGTAGGGGGTAAATAGAAATGGGCCATGGCGCAAGACCTGCAATTGAGCCAAATATCAGATCCTTAGCTATTTTAGAAGTGGGTAAAATTGATTTAGACCGATGGACCTGTAGGAATAACATTGGGGGGGGGGGATTCTATATTTCGTGGGGGAGGGAGTTATATTTGTAAAATGTCACTTTTCGGAAAGGGCGCAAGATCTACAATCATTCAAAATTTCAGATATCCAGTTAATCTAGAAATCTGTAAACGTGATTTAGACTTATGCACCTGTAAGAATAACATTGGGGGGATTTAATATTTGGGGGGGGGGGGTTGTAAATACGATAGGGGGATAAAACCTTAAGTAAACCAGAGTAAATCTATGGCATGAACGGACCATGGGAACGGGGACTTATGGTGGTTTTTAAGGGGTAAATGTTTTCTCCTTAAGAATAACATGGGGCTCGTAAAAACTTTCAAATGTTGACATTAAACCTAAGTTTTGGGGGTTAAGGAGTAAAGTTACGAAAAAACACGTATCGTGTAAAATTTTAAACTAAAGTGAGGAGAATACAAAGCAATAATAATATTTGCAAAAAGGAATGATTAAAGTATGAGAAAATAGCGAAAACTGGTAAAAAGTTGAAACAAAATTTACCAGATTTTGAAAGTAGGGAGTTTTTTGAACCCGAAAGAGTGCGATTTTCGGAAAACAACTACGAGGGTTTTGTAGAAAATTTAATTTCTGTTCCTGGATATACTTTCAAATCTTTTCTAGCTCTTACTGTTTTCGAGCTAAATCCGTTTGAAAAAAACGTGTTTTATCGATTTCAGAGGTCCGCCATTTTGGATTTGTGGGGGGGTTAAAATTTGAAAATGGGACTTTTGAAAATTTCACCATTAGCTTATGATCCCTTACTACAATACTACCAAATTACAAGTCTCTAGCACATTTCTATACGATTCATATGACTATACCAAAGTCATTATATTTCAATCTTATTCTCCATAAGAATAACACGGGGCACGTAAAAGTGGCGAAAAACCTTCAAATTTAAAAAACATGTAATGAGTAAAATTTAAAGTAAAGTAAGGAGAATACAAAGCAATAATAGTTTTTGAAAAAAAAAATATTTAAGTATGAAAAAATGGCGAAAACCGGTAATAATTTAATAAAAATTTACCAAATTTTGAAAGTAGGGCGTTTTTTGAAGCTGAAGGAGTGCGATTTTTGGAAAACGCCTAAGGGGATTTTGTGTAAAATTTAATTGCTGTTCCTGGATATACTTTCAAATCTTTTCTATCTCTTATTGTTTTCGAGCTATATCCCTTTGAAAAAAACGTGTTTTGTCGTTTTCAGAGGTCCGCCATTTTGGATTTTTGGGGGGGGTTAAAATTGGAAAATGGGACTTTTGCGAAACTCACCGTTAATTTAAGATCCCATAGTACAATACTACGCAAATTTGAAGTCTCTAGCACGTTTCTAAACCGTTCAGATGGGCACACCAAAGTCGGCCATTTTTAATGTTATTCCCCATAAGAATAACATGGGGGGAAACCCTTAATTTCGGGGGGGTTAAAATTTTAAAATCTCACTTTTTGGAATTTTCCCGGGGGTTTGGGCACTAGACCTACAAAACACCGAAAATTTCAAGTCTCTAGCTCATCTAGAAGTGGTCTAGAATTTGTATCCCCCGTGAGTTACATATGCGGCTGTATAGTATTTAGACTCGCCTTTGGCTCGCTCCCCTAGCTGTTAGTCGTCATTCAGAAATTTAGGAAGGGGTGAGAGGCCATCACCAAGAAGCCGGGTAAATTTCAAGCCCGTAGCACACCTAGAAGTGGTCTAGAAAGCACTCTCCGCATCTCTAAATTCTTTGTGGGGTTGTAATAGCGAAAATCGATATCGAAGTAATAACCATTTCACAAAATATTCGAGTAGATTGATAAGTAGAGAATAGTAAAGTATTATATTAAGTAAATAGTTCATCGTAAATATATGTTAATGAAAATAGATGAAGTTATTTTTGTTTCCCTGTCAGTTCAGAATCCATTTCCCGTTCCAATCCGTTTCCCTGTCAGAATCCAATTCCAATCACGTACAATTCCAATCCGTTTCCCTGTCAGAATCCATTATAAAAAAATAATTTTAAAGTTGCGGTAAGAGAGTATGTTAGTAAAGTATATTTACAAATGAGTTTTTGGTCAAACTAAGTGATAATATAATTGGAATTGTAATAGCGAAAATCGATATTGAAGTAATAATTATTTCACAATATATATTAAGAGTAGATTGATAAGTTAAAAAGTTGATAATTGTAAAGTATTATATGAAGTAAATAGATTATAGTAAATATTCATGTATATATTTATGAAAATAGATCAAGTTATTTTTGTTTTCCTGTCAGCCACAAACTGTATGGCATATCCAGTTCCGGCACGGGGAGGCCAGGAAACACAAGAACCATATTAATTTTGAATCATTTATATTAACAGTAATAGTATTTCAAGTAAAAAGATGTTATTAAATATTTATAGATTTATTAATGAAAATTGATCAAGCAGTGTTTGTTTCCCTGTCGGTTAGCCATAAACTGTATGGCATATCCAGTTCCGCCACGAGGAGGCCAGGAAACGTCGGAACCATATTTACAATTGTTAAAAAATGCAGTAGACTTGTGTATAAGATAAGTAGATTGATAAGTGAATAAGTTGATAATAGTAAAGTATAATATGAAGTAAATAGATTATAGTAGATATCCATGTATATATTTATGAAAATAGATCAAGTAATGTTTGTTTCCCTGTCGGTTAGCCATAAACTTTATGGCATATCCAGCTCCGCCACGAGGAGGCCAGGAAACGTCGGAACCATATTTACAATTATTTACAAATGTACAAGTTAGTAAACTTTACTAACTACTTAAAGAAATATAGAGAACAACTTAACTAACTACTAAAAAGAAGAAAAAATATAAACAACAACGGGGACTTTTGATAAGGCAGGCCCCCTATCGTACTGCCAAACTAAAATACTAAAAACACACAAAAAACGACTTATTACTAAAGAAAAAACTAAAATGAAATATATACAACAACCTAAAGCTAAAGTCAAGTCAGGGTTAGAGGAGGAGATCGTCATACACGATATTTTTCGCGTATGCGATTCCCCCTTGGACACGGTCGGGACGGACAAGGACGACTATATGGTCTGGATGCCTGACTCTACTGAGCAGGACGTACAACTGACCATGAGTGAAACAGTCACTGTGAAGATCGACTCCTACGCGATCAATCGTCTGGCCCTGGCTTTTGTGGCCAGTCATGGAATATGCCAGCATGAGAGGAAACTGAAGACGGCGGACACGAAGCGGTGACCCCTCGACGAACGGGAAAACGAATTGAATCCGGGGGATACAAATCGGATCATGTTGTCCAGGGAGTCGCACTGTGATCAGACGAGGTCTTATTGCCGTCACGATCACTTTAGTGCCGTTTACGAGTCCGCTGTCAATGTTCAAGTTCCTCATGACGAGACACACGGAGCCAATCTTGAGTCGCAGGACATGGTCTGGTACACCCTTGCCAGTAGCTTGGTTCAACAAGTGAACGTCTACATCCATACCATCGTCGTTCTCCTTGTCCACAGAATCCGCACTCCTCAACTCATGAACGACGCCGTCCATCAGGTTGAGAACGGTGTTGTTGATCTGCTGGACATTGGCGTTCATGG